AGGATATATTTAACATTTTAAGAAACCTGTAATCTAGGGTACTTTCCAACATTATCTATTAACCATACAGTAGAGACCACGTCAGCCTAAGGAACCTGAGAATAACCAGACCACCAGAAATTTCTCAGATTGCCAGACTGATGTCATTCCCACATACCTTCCATTCCTCACCAAATTCCCTTTAAAAGAAGAGTCCAGGATCCCAAAGGCAGGTCTTACCCTCAAGAGAGCCTGTGTTCTCCCTGAATGAGTCTCTGCTTTCCTAAATAAATTTCTATCACTCTGACGTGTCCCTAAATTCATTTCTGCAACATTTGTCAAGAACCCCATTCATTCTGGACTGAGTTCCCACTCTTCCTCTGATGACAATTTTAGTGTCCCAATGGTTTCTTTCTGAACAGTTTTTCAAAAATGTACATAGTAAATCTTTCACAAAGTTTAAAAATATAGAGGAACTTTACTGTAACCTTTGATTTGCAGAACATACTTGGAGATGAGAGTTTCTTATTACAAGAGTTGGAACCTGATTCTGGCAAATTAAATAAATACAAATGTTGGAAGGATACAAGATGTCTCAGGCTTATAGATTCTCAGTAACCCGGGGAGCAAGAATGGATGAACAGCTTCTTTGGTCCACAGGAACAGCTCTGGGCCAGTCTTCCATCTTTGTCCCTCAGCTCAACAGTCAAACCACTGGAAAGTCCAACTGATCTCGTCTCCCCACACGTTCAGCTCTCAACTGGGGGTCAGGACTCTTTACCCGCACATTCACAAGACTGCACAGGAGAGGGGCAGTTCCCAAAGAAAAAGAGTGTCCTCACCAAAAGATGGAGGGGTGCCAAGCAGTGAAATGCCCTCTCCAGTCCCTGGCTAAGTGCCGCACCCAAAGCCATCCCAAAGTAAGCTCTTGTAAAAGTTTGTTCATTTGAACAAAATAAACTCTAAAAAAGTGAAGAATGAATCATCCCAGTGAGTGGTTCCACCATGAGTCCCACCGATCCCTCTGGTATGCGCTGCTGTGTGGAATAAAAAAGCTCTCAGCATAACCCCTGTCCCACTACTACTGACTAGCAGAGAACAGGGAGGTAGAGAAAGACCTGGGCACTTAGAAAGAGGGAACAAAACAACTGCTTGGCCCGAGAGGCGATTTTGGTTCCCTTTCTTCTTCCTCAGGTTCACACAACTTTTTAGTAACAGACTGGTCTTCTCAGTCCAGTGTTGTTTCCATAACTGTGACCTCCCATACATTCATGCTGGGTCTTCACAACTTGCTAATGTGACATGGTCACTTAGATACAACTGTTATGGGCCAGGCTATATGGGCAATGACCAAACAGACTCCATATTACCCTGAGACTCCATATCACATAAGAAATGCTTCTCCCTTGGAAAAGCCCCAACTCTGTACCCATTAATATTTACCTAGCATAGCATACTTGGCAACCCAAAATAGCAATTCTTATACAATGTAAAATTGTTCTCTTTGCTTTCCATTTTTCTTGGGCAATGTACCTTGTCAGAGATTGTCTAGACGTTAGTAACCATTCTCTAACTTGTACTCCACTAGTGTCATTTTGACCCACTTCCCTTGCTTGCTTGCTGCTATGCCAACCTGGAAAGTCCTGTGGGAAATACCAATGTATCCATTGCATTGTCTCACAGACTGTTCAATCCAGCTTCTGTACCTGCTTGCTTACAGCTACGTCAACCCAGATGTAGTTTTTGCCTTTAAATATCCTAAAATGCTCAGGCATGGGGCTGCTCCTTGCAGAGACAGTTATGGGTCCTGCGGGGAGCAGTCGCTGGCTGGTCAGCTAAATAAAGACTCTTCAATTTGGACAAAACTGGGACTTGGTGTGTTTTCTGAGTGACCTGCCCCACAACACAACTTTTAACCATTAAAGGAAACAATGGTTTATTCTTAACAACTTAATTCTATCGAAACTATTTCAGTAGTTTTGAAAGCACCAGGATCATGATAATATCCAACAATACCTGTAGCATAAAAATACAATTATAGAACAGAATTTAGCAAAAAGTCTATACACTTTGACACAGCTATCCCACTTGGAGAAATTTACCCTAGGAAAATAATCACATAATCACATGTATGTAAATAAACAGGAAAGATGCTCATTGCAACATTACCTGAAATACTGTCAGTGGGGACTAAGAAATAAGCAGCCTGTAACAATAGGGGAGCAGTTACATGACATCTGTACAATTTAATACCATGCAATATCAAAATTGGCAGAAGAAATATTAAATGACATGGAAACATGTCAATATATTTATAATACATTAAGTGAAAATGCAGATCACAGAGTAAGTTGGAATACATCATCTTTGCAAAACAAATTCTTTTTAAAAAAAATTTTATTGGTTTTAATTAGTTATACATGACAGTACAATACATTTGGAGTTGGAGAATATCATATTAAATGAAATAAGCCAATCCTAAAAAACCACAGCCCAAAAGTTTTCTCTGATATGCGAATGCTAATTGACAATAAGGTGGGGTCTAGGGAAGAAGAGAGTGACTTTAGATTATGTAGAAGGGAGTGAAGGGAGGAGGGGATATGGGGATAGGAAGGACAGTAGAATGAAACAGACATTATTACCTTATGTACATATATGACTACATGACCAATATGTATAATATGTACAATCAGAAAAATGAGATATTATACCCATTTATGTATGATATAGCAAAACAAATTCTTAAAAGTAGAAAAAAATACAAGAAAACATTAATAGCAGCAGTTCCTTCTGGGTGGTAGGATTATGGAGATTTTTGTTACTGCTGTTTTTCACCTTATTTTTTTTTTCACTTTGTCCCCCTAAATTTTCCGTAATAATTAAATTTTTAATTATTTTAAATCAAGTTATTTTTAAGTTACTGTCTTATACAGGGATGTGATTAATAAAACTATGGTTGAAAAATGTTGAATACATTTCCTACAGAGACGTCTTGCTATTAGTCTACTTGTTTTTTAAGTTCACTTCTTAAATTAATACTTACTGAATTACATGTTTAAAATTATCTTTTTTCCAACTTAATTCTAACAAGTTGTTCTGGGCATATTTTCCCTTTTTGGTAACTTCTTTTTGAAATCACAGCCTTCTAAGATCTTAATGGTCCTCAAAGACACCTAAGGAACACGACAAAACTATTATCTGGGTCACTTTTGAGAGAGCTGACAAACTGAACAGCTGAGCTATTGTGGGCACAACAGCAAATATAATCATCCCTGCCCTAGTAAGCCCTCCCCACTACCCCGTGTCAATTAGATCTCTCTCAAAAATGCTAATGTGGATTTTGTGATTGGTATCATACTGAAATCTACATTAAAAGTTACAAAGCAGGTATCTTGGATACTGGCTAGTAAAAATTATCAAAAGCTGACACATTAAAAGTACTCAGTCCAGGGGCTGGGGTTGTAGCTCAGTGGCAGAGCACTTGCATTGCAAGTGTGAGGCCCTGGGTTTGGTCCCCAGCACCACGTAAAAATAAAAACAAATTAAAAAAAGAATAATAAAGATATTGTGTCCATCTACAACTAAAAAAAAAAGTTAAAAAAAAAAAAAGTACTCAGTCCATGGTAACAATGAATTCCAGATAGACTGATCCAGATACTCCAATCTGCCCAGGCAGTTTCAGTGCAGACCTGACCCCTATGAAGTCACTGGTAGATCATTTCACTCTCAGACATGTCCCAGTGTGGATGATAAATTACCTTCATTACAGGGCCCATCATCTGGAATGTACATTTGTGTAGAAAGGTAAAAGGTGGAAAGAAATTTCATTTTGCTGTTAACAACTTTATGCTTAGTGTGCTGATCCCAGATATAAGGGAACTTGAAGCCCATTAGTTAAAAACAAACTAATTCTAAGTGTTTTGTGGAAAGGCTTTTTATCAAAACAATACAAACTTGGATCATTATTCCTTGCACTTATTTTATAACATATTTAAGAATATGACACTAGGCTATGATTAGCTACTTCATTTTACTTAAATTATAATTTGAAAACTGAAAACAAAAGTAATCTTGTCTCTTCATTCTTTAAGTACTGAGAAGCAAATTTAGAGACCAATTAGCTCTCTAATTAGCTGTACAGTTCTTAAAATTTTATGTAACTCATGTCCTTCTAACTGAATGCATAAGTCAAAATGCAAAAAAAAAAAAAAAACTTTTTGGTAAAAGTTGCAGTTATTATTGGATAAATTATAAAAATAATCTAATTTAAATGTGGTTTTTAGTGATGGCTGTCATACTTCTAAAAGAGAAAGGAAGAGCATGCCCCAAATAACCAAGAATCATTAACTTGATAGTTCCTACCAAATAAATATCACCTAGATTATATAAAGAAAACATTTTCATTTTCTGATGGATGGAATTTTTAATTGAAAATGTAATATAATCTTAGAACTTACTTAATGTGGTGTTTCCACCATCTTGGAGCCTGTGAAGGCCTCCTAGGAACAGGATTCCTAAAAGGCAGAAACATCTGGAACATTCTTGCTAGCTAGAAACAAGGTCTCCAGAACTAAAGGGAGCACACAGCTCTTCTTAAAATTGGAGGTGTTTATGCCTGAGATGGAACTAGATTCTACTTGGGCAAAAGATGTACTATGTCTACAAAGCAAGAAAAAAACAGTGACTCCTGACAGCAAAGTGAACAAAACCAGAGTCCTCTGGGGAAAGGTGACTTATGTCGACGTTAACAGTGAGGTGGCTTGTGCCAAATCCAAAGCAGCCTTCATAACCAAGGCCACTGGACACAGAATTCTTTTGATGCTCTACCTTCAAGGATTTAAACTAATGAAAAATAGTTAAGTTAAAGTGGACTTGTGCTTTTGTTTAAAAAAAAAAAATACCATGTTCCTTCTGAAAATGAAAACTACCTTTCAATCATGATTTTCTGTCTACATGTCACCCCATAAAAAGTTAAACTGACTTCCTGATATACAGGAAGTCTAAACAGAACATCATATACAGACATTTGAAATATTAATTTTATTAAGAAAACATGATAGTTGTATCAAGTTGTATAATCAAACACCTAATTTTAAAATTTTATGTCCTGAGGACATCAATTATAATATGGACATTTTCATTCATTCAACAAATATTGAGCCCCTCAAGTGCCAGGCACTGTAGACACAGGATAAACAGATCCTTGCTTTCGTAGAGCTTACATTCTAGCAGTGGGCAATGTTAAAGAAACATTTATGACACAATGATGAATTTGTGATAGAGGCATATGATGTTTTACAAGAGCACACAGTAGGGAAGCCAGCCCAGTCCAGGGAAGTCACAGAAACATTCCTAAGGAAGTAGTGTTTATCAAAGAGAATCAAGAGCTTAAGCTGAAGGACAAGTGCTGAAGAAGTAAGAGGAGAAGAGTTCAGGTCAAGGGAGCCTTGTATATCTTTTGGTGGAAGAACTTAGGAGGTTCAAAGACCTGGACATCTAGAATGGCCAGAGCTATTGTCCTGTGAAAAGAGGAGTCAAAGAGATGAGGTTAAAAAAGCAAAGATCAAGCAAGATTATGGAGGCCATTGGGGCCAGCTGGTACTTCACAAGAAACCACTGAATGATTTTAAGGAAGGGAGCAGTCTGACCAGATGTGTACTTTAGGGTGGCCTCTCTAACTCGAGAGGTGAACAGACAGGATGAGGTAAGACCAGATGCAGCAGACCACTCCTAAGGCCCATGCTGGTAAGAGACAAATATAATTGGAGGAGTTCAAGAGACCATCAAGGAGGCAAAGTTATAGCACCTGATGACTGAATTGAGGCTCCTCCAAGACAACCAGGTGGATGTCCAGTAGACATGTTTTATAAGAGCACACAAGTGTAGAACCAGGGAAGAACTATGCTAGGAAGAGCCAATGCAGGAATGCATTTAGATGGGACTGAAGCCATGAGAGGGGCAAAATGGCCCAGCAAGAATGCACGTGTTTTATGCCATGAGAAATATGTGCATTTAATAATATGGGCCAGGGGCTGGGGGGGAGGAGAAAATGGGAGCTGGGGGTAGGGGGAAATGGGAGATATTGTTTAATGGACACAGAGAATCAATGTGGGACAACGACAAGTTCTAGAGATGGATGGTGGTGATGGCTGCACAGCAATATGAAGGTACTTAATGCCAGTGAACTGTACACTTAAAATGGCTAAAAGGGTTGATTTCTTACATTAAAAAAGGAGATACTTTTGTGTTATTTGTATCTTTTCAGTATAAGAATGTATTTGTGTATTCCTTAATGAAAATTAAGACAAATAATAAAAGTGGGGGAAATCAGGAGATGAAGAGGATTCCACAAGGGAAACTAAAAAAGAAAGGCTAAAGGGATTTATGGAAAATCTAGAGGGTTAAGTATGAAAGCCAAGGATGCAGTTCAAGGAGGGAGTGTTCAATCCAACAGAATGCTACTGAAAAGTCAGATAAGGCTGGGAAACACTCCACTGGCTTCAGCAACATGGAGAGCAATGGTGACCGGACAGAGCTGTTGGCAATGGAAGCCAGAGAGGGGCAGAACAAGGAGAGAATAGGTTAGAAAGCAGGGCCCCCAGTGCAGACAGTGAGAAATCTGATTACTATGGGAAGGAGATAGGATGGTGACTGAAGAGAAAGGTAATAGATGATTCTTTAAAATAACTTAAAATATCATCAAGCCTAATCAGCAAAACAATCATTTCAGCAAATATAAACTTTATATTAATAATCTCAACCACACTGGAATTTATAGATTAAAGAACTTTTTATATTATTTGTAGGATATAAAGGATAATTAGTCTCTTCATTTCATGGGTGATAAAATTGAGCCACAGAAAAATTTCTCCAAGAAAATTTAAAAGGAATTGATGCTCATCAAATAAATATCCTCATTGATTTTTTTTTAAGGTAGAAAAGTACAATGCATTATATTAAGAACAAAAAATCACAGAAACACATTCAAAAATCTAAAATTTTAAGGTTACATATGATAATTTTTGGCACATGTCCAACAGAACACATTTTATATTCCAGCTACATCCTGAAAACGCCAAAGTCAGTCTTCTGGATGGGGGCGTTGAGGGCTGCACTAATACTGAGACCCAGAACCAATCTGGTGTCCACTGGATCGATAATCCCATCATCCCACAGCCTGACAAAAGAATAAAAACATGGGTTATTATGAACCTACCACCAAACCACCATTTATACACACCATGAAGAGTCTTCTTCAGGTAATATACAGATCTACTGATTATCATCTTCATTACTTGAATCTCACAACAGAAACCATGTACAAGAGATGGGAAAAGGGAAAGAAAAATAATGACTTTCACCCCAGGTCACCACAGAATGTTGTACCAAGCTTAAAGTGTTAGGAACTATTTACATAAGAAATCTCAATCCCTATTTTAAATTTTTTTTTACTTATTTCAGGAAAAGCCTTCCTGTCCCTTTTCTGCCCTCACAAATGTACAAACCAAGTTGGTGTGCTTCTGCCATTACTAAGGAGAGCCACATGAACCAAGTAAAAATGTTAAGCCACTGTCTTCCCTGGGAAAGGTATAATTCTCCAAACCCCCAAACTCTTAAACTATGAAAGTTATGGAATAGGCTTCAATATATTTCATTAGTAAAATAAATGCCTTCAAATGTAGTGCTTTATTCTTGCTATGATAGGAAAACTAATAGCCCACTGATTTCAGAAGAAACATCTAAGTAGAAATTTTAGTTTGCTTTTCATCATCAACCTTCAAATTTATAAAGAAAAAGGAGTGAAAAATATTATGTTTTAAAGGTCATTAGGAGGTGGCAGTATTGCTTTCTTTAAACAAACGACCTTCAATACCTAGACAACACATCAATTATTAAGCCATCGACAAACAGGAATCAAATCTTTTCTCATAAAATATTCATAATATGGACCCTAAAGTATCAATGGCCAATAAAAAGTCACACTTGTAATCTGTTGACAGGTAAACTGGTCACACCCCTTCTGCAATCTGCAGCAGCATGATCCCATAGGCATGATGACAGAGGGGCTGGTTAATCACATCCATTAAAAGACTGCTCCAGGTAGGATGTTGTCATCCAATGCCTGATAAAGCTTGACTATAAAAACAACTGAACAGAAGTAAACTAGCAAGCTATACAGGTCACTTGGAAGAATAAGGAAAATATTGGAAGGGCTGGGGATATAGCTTAGAGGTAGGGCACTCACGTGGGCTGCATGAGGCCCTGGGTTTGATTACCAAGTGCCACAAAATCAAAAACACTGGAGATTCCAATAGCGGGTGATGATTGAGCTCTCTGAAAAGCCAGATCTAACCATGTTCATGCCAAAGCAGGCCAGGGTATTGCTGTTAAACTAAGATCTACTAAATCCAAGGACAACATCATAAGCCAGCCGGAAAGTCCTTTCATCTTTGAGAGAAAGTTCCTCTCTGTGTGCCATCAACCGTTTCAACAGAAGGGTGAAGCATCTACAGATTAACAGAGGGATCTTTCTATCTTTCAACATTTATTTCTAAATCTTTCAACATTTATTTCCAAAACTAAGTCTATCTGGGCCATTTGCTCTTTTGCTTTGAATGTAGTCCATTAAAAAAAAATAAGGTTATTATGGAAATAATAAAGGATACAATCTTTCCCAAGAGATGACATTGCTTAGCCAGAACCAAAAAACAAGTTAATGGTTCACACAGAACTCTCTATTTTTCAAAGTTTAATATTTAAACTGTAACTGGACATTTCAGTCAAAGTCCTGTGTGAAAAAAAACTGTCAGCGAGCTTACAACATATACTTTACATTTTATCTTCTACAGTAAATATCTTCTACAGTTTTCTATTGCTTTTTTGCCTCTACTGGCTCTTACATAAATCTGCTGTGTGATGGCAAAAGGAGGAACAAGTTTGTTTCTCAAATCAATAACTATAAAATATTTTGCTCTTAATTAAGTGAACTAATAAGCCAACACAGCAAAATATACCTGTAAATCTGTTTACATATATATTTAGCAAAATTTATACATATTTAGCAAGGAGACACATAGGTTTTAAAAAAAAATCCAAATGTCATTATCTGAATTTTAATTATGGTCTTGAAATTCAACACGTTCATTCTTTGCACCCCAGTGCTAATAGCCAGCTACAAAGAGGCACTTCAAATCGTTGTAATGGATTCTAACTTTTGGTTTTCTTTTCTCCGTATCTCTCCAGTAAATGGCATAAATCACAGCATAACCTAATTTTAAAAGACACAAATACTTGCTTTTTTCCCTCTGCCCATGGGATGAAAGAAAGACATGAAGCTTAAGTCTTCAGAATGCAGAACATTAAAGTTGTTGGAAAAAAAGATGTGGAAGCACACACCAGGAAGTCTCCAACTGAGACAGACTGGGATAATTTATTACCTCATTAAGTGGCATAAAAAACAAACAACCAACAGCTATAATGGTGTGAGGTAATTATGTGACACATGGACCCTGGCTGTGACTGATCACCTCTGAGTACATGAGCACACTTGTTAACAAGGACTGATAGGTGTTCAAACCATCTCATGCTTAAAATGGGGTTAAAAACAAAACAATGAGAAAGAGAGATATGACAGGAACCCATGTTTTTAAGGAAAACTCAGCATTAACTTCAGCATTAACTCTTATTCCCAGCTCTCAGCATGGCCCAGCTCTGGTTACGGGGCCCCTCCAGTCTCTGTATACCCCAACCAGGGGTGAGTTGGGGCAGGGGTGCAGAATCACCCAATGATACTATACCTACAATGCAGGGAAGCCTGGAGGAGGGGCAGCAGTTTAGCAAAAAGAGACAACAGTACAAAATTAAGTTTGTCCAGAGGTTATTTTTGATTCCTCTGGAGGCTGACCATCCTGATTGTTGGGGGTCTCTGCAAAGCTGCCAGAAGGCACCCAGCAGGGAAGGAGTGATTCTCTGGCTCCCACCTTGCACTGGAATAGTAAGGGTTCCCTTCCTCTTCAAACCGCTTAATGATTGGCTCTTTTAAAGCTGCTTCATCAGCACTGGACAACTGAAAGAAAAGGAGCCATGAATAAGTCATTGTCTTTGGAATAATTGATACCATTTAGAAAACCTCAAAAAAACAGACAGTAAATCCCATGAACAATAACGCTACAACCAACATTTTTGTGGTGAGGTATTCATTACAAGTGATACTTTAAGATGCATGATCTCTCCTGACACAGAAGTACCAAATTATTTTACCATTACTTCTTCCTTATCAGAAACAGCATCCTGAGACCATTTAATGAAAGGTTCAAACCCAGGATAGCATGTACCACTGTATTCCAGCAGGGTAAAATAATGGATGTGAATTACAGAGTAAAACAGAAGAGCTACATTATTTTTAGCAGCCTCTGGTTAAGAACATAAAGAATTGTAAGATTTTCCTTCAAAATAACCGATTTCTGTCTTATCTTTTCTTTATTTTTTTCATTTGTAGTACTGGAATTGTACAGGGCCTGTCCTACATTAGGCAAGTGTTCTACCACTTTAAAAATTTTTAAAGCTTACAGGGGGTTAAAATAAATAGCTGAGAGATGGTTTCCCTCGCTGAAAATTTAATGGTTTTCCTATTGGCATTAGAAAGACCAAGTGATAGTTATTAGCTCAGATGTAAAAGATATTTGGAACTTATTTTGCCATCTTAAAAAATATTTTCAACTTAAAAAAAACTGCACCAAAACAAATTACTTATTTCAAATAAATTCTACCTTCTTTTAATACTTTAATATTATTAAAATATTTTAATATCATTTTATAGGTCAAGAATTTGGAGTAAGAACCACTAGCACACTGTACTTTCCTTTCATATATACAAAGGAATGAATTTACAAATCTGTGTATCAATTAGGCAAATAACAACTATTTAACAAGGGATCACTATGCTAGGCTTCATGAAGTTTAAGATATATCTTCAAAACACCAGGTAGCATTTCATACCCTACCTTCCCCACCTCCACTACCTTCCCCACTTCCCCTACCAACGCCACCATCCTTGGCCCCCTCCCAACCCGATCCTGACACACACACACACACAAACAAACCTATCCTTTTCCTTTGATACTAGTTGGTACTAAAGTGAATCTAAAACCTCAGTGTAAGTCTACATAGTTCCTGCTGCTTTGCAAAGACAATCAGGGATGTAAGGCAGAGGTGAATGCACTCAAGGAAGCAAGAACCACCTCTCCAGCTTTATATTATCCCTAACTCTGCAAACTAACTGGTAGACCAGGTGATTTCAGAAAGGCAGGATAGAGCCCAAGAAGGCAGGGCCTCCTCCATTTTATACTTTCTTTCTCTGATGAGACAACAGTTCACCTAAGCAACTTCAGAAACACATATTCCTAAACACTTGTCCCCCAGCCTTCAAAAATGTTGGTGCCTCCACAAAACAGTTAAAAGTTATAACTAAAAAATATTAATGCCAAATTTCAGAAGAATCTGAGACACAAACAAAAGAATCCAGCCAGGCACACATCTGTAATCCCAGCAGCTCAGGAGGCTGAGGCAGGAGGACCACGAGTTCAAAGCCAGATTCAGCAATTTAGTGAAGATTTAAGCAACTCAGTAAGACCCTGTCTCTAAATAAAATATCAAAAAAAAAAAGAGCTGGGGATATGGCTGAGTGGTCGAGTGCCCCTGAGTTCTATCCCCAGTACCAAAAAAAAATCCATTATAAAAGCAGCCACTTGGGTTAGGGTTGTAGCTCAGTGGCAAAGCACTCACCTAGCATGTGCAAGGCCCTGGGTTTGATCCTCAGCATCACATAAAAATAAATAAAATAAAATAAAGGTATTATGTCCAACTACAACTAAAAAATTTAAAATTTTAAATAAATAAATAAATGAAAGCAGCTGCTTGCTGACTTGCCCTTCATCAAGTTTCCACTACTCTTTCCATTTTTCTTTAAACTTTCTTGGAACACAAATGTTATTCAATTCTCAGTAAATGACTGATTCCGTCCACTCGAGGTATCCTTAACAATAATCTACAGGTAAAAATAGAGAAAATAAAATTTTGCTGCTTTCAGTCATAAAATCAAAGAAGTAAATCAGATTTATTGAAATGTCACTAACTGCAAACAAATAAGAATCATCTGAGTGCCTCAGGCACTCAGAGTTCTGAAAAAACTATAAAAAGTGACCAGAGATGGAGGCGGAGTTGTGGCTCATTGGTAGAACACTTGCCTAGCATGTGTGAGGCACTGGGTTTGATCCCCAGAATCACATAAAAAAACTAAATCAAATAAAGGCATTGTGTCCATCTACAACTAAAAATATTTTTTAAAAAATGTGATCAGAGATGTACCTCAGATGAAATCACTTTTAAAAAGAAAGTCAGACATGTAGATCAATGGTACAGAATAGAAGACACAGAGAACAACTCACATAAATATGGTTATTTTATACCACACAAAGGTACTAAAAACATGCTTTGCAGAAAACACAGCCCCTTCAACAAATGGGGCTGGAAAAACTGGAAATCCATCTGTAGCAAAATGAAATTAAACCTCTATCTCTCACCCTGCACAAAAATCAACTCAAAGTGGATCAAAGATTTCAGCATTAGAACAGAGACCCTATGCCTAATAGAAGAAAAAGTAGGACCAAATCTCCACTATGTCAGCTTAGGACCCGACTTCCTTAACAAAACTCCTACAGTGCAAGAATTAAAATCAAGAATCAATAAATGGGATGAATTCATGGGCTGGGGCTGTAGCTCAGTGGTAGAGCACTTGCTTAGCATGCATGAGCCACTGGGTTCGATCCTCAGCACCACATAAAAATAAACAAATAAAATAAAGGCATTCTATCCATCTACAACTAATAAATAAATAATTAAATAAATAGATGGGATGGATTCAAATTAAAAAGCTTCTTTTCAGCAAAAGAAACAATAATGCAAAGAGAGAGCCTACAGAATGGGAGAAAATCTTTACCACATGCACCTTAGATAGAGAGAGCACTAATTCCCAGGATATATAAGAACTCAAAAAACTTAACACCAAAAAAACAAATAACCCAATCAATCAATGGGCTAAGGAACTGAACAGACACTTCACAGAAGAAGAAACACAATCGCTCAATGAATATATGAAAAAATATTCATCATCTCTAGTGATTAGAAAAATGCAAATCAAAACTACTCTAAGATTTCATCTCACTCCCATCAGAATGGCAATTATTGAAAATACAAGCAATAATAAGTGTTGGCGAGGATGTGAAGAAAAAGGTTCACTTATAAATTGCTGGTGGGACTGCAAATTGGTGCAGTAAAGAGATTCCTGGAAAGTAGTAAGGAGATTCCTCAGAAAACTTGGAATGGAACCACCATTTGACCCAGCTATTCTACTCCTCGATTTATACCCAAAGGACTTAAAATCAGCATATTACAATGATGCAGTTACATCAATGTTTATAACAGCTCAATTCACAATAGCTAAACTATGAAACCAACCTAGATGCCCTTCAACAGATGAATGGATAAAGAAAATGGGGTACATACACACAATGGTACATTACTCAGCCTTAAAGAAAAATCAAATTATGGCATTTGCAGGTAAATGAATGGAGCTGGAGAATATCATGCTAAGTGAAATAAGCCAAACCCCCCAAAAAACAAAGGCCAAATGTTTTCTCTGATAAGTGGATGCTAATCCATAATGGGGGTGGAGGTAGAAAAGAATGTAGGAACTTTGGATTGTGCAGAGGGGAGTGAGGGAGAGGAAGGAAAGAAGTGTGGGGATGGGAAGAACAACGGAATGAGATGGACATTATTACCCTATATACATGTATGATTATACTACCGGTATGACTCTGCATGTTCAGCCAGAGGAAGGAAAAGTTGTGCTCCATTTGTGTACAATGTGTCAAAATACATTCTACTGTCATGTATAACTAATTAGAACAAATTAAAAAATAAAATAAATAATAAAGTAAAAAAAAGAAAGTCAGAAAATATGTGTGTGAGCTTAAATTGCTGAAACGACTCCTGGATCAGCATCTTCTCAACCTTCCAGAGGGATTATGGGTACTCTGCTCCTAGACTCCAGTGTGTTCATTGGTGAAAGCCAGATCCAGAAGGAGAAGAAATGTCATTTACCTGTTTCCCCTCTCGTGCTTTTTGGTCCTTTGCGATCGTAGCTAACACATTGGCTGCCTGCTCTCCTCCCATCACTGAGATACGAGCATTTGGCCACATGTAGAGAAATCTTGGGCTGGGAGAAAAAGAATGATCTACTTAATTCAATGCACAACACAGACTTTTCAGAGGACACATTTTTTAATAAGTGGTTCTTATTAAAAAGAACCTTCTTTTAAATAAGTGGTTCTTATTTCCAGGGGCACATTATAATCACCTGAAGAGGTTTAAAAAATATATAACAATGAACAATGTCTGGAACCCCCACTGCAGACCAATCTCCAGAGGTGGGGCCTCTGCATGCATGTGATTTTTAAGTTCTCCAGGTGACTCATTATGGGTATAAAAGTATTCATAATATCTTCTTATCTGTGGTCATGTTCCATTCCTGATTTTGGCTATACATGCCTATGTTCAGTTTGATGGAGAGATTATCAAGTTTGTTAACTTTTCAACTTAAGTTTGTTAATCTAACAACTTTGGGCTTTACCAATTCTTCTACCTTATGTTTGTTCCTCACTATATCTTTTCTATTGTTCTTGGACTTAAGATGCTGTTCCTCCTGAGCTGGATGCTCAGCTCATTGATTTTCATCCTTGCTCTTTACCTAATATATACTTTTTTTTTTTTTTTTGGCTAGGCAATGTAGCTCTACGACTGAGCTATGTTGTCAGCCCCCAAGTATACAGATTTAAGACTGTAAACCTTCCTCAAAGCAAGATCTTAGCTGCATCACACAAGTTTTAATGTATAGACTTTTCATTATCAGCCATTTCAAATATTTCCTGATTGCCACTGTAGATTTTTTCCAAACAGAACCCTTAGCATTAAATGTAATTTCATTCCTCTAGATGATACCAATTATATATAACTGATCAAGATTTGTGAATGCCATCATTTCAAACATAAAATGACCACTTATGATAATACCTCAAGCATGCTTCTGTCTTTCAGAGAAAATCATGACAACCACCTACCTATATGCTCTGCCACACATCCCATAATTTCCAGCCCCATACGATCCCCCAATAATGATGGTTATCTTAGGCACGTTGGCACAGGATACAGCAGCCACCATCTTGGCACCATCCTTGGCGATTCCTTCGGCTTCATACTCTCTACCAACCATGAATCCTAGGAGAGAGAACAGAAAGGAGCCTCAGGGTGACGGGCCTGATGTGCAATGCCAACTCCACCAAGGTTCTGGAAGGTCAGCTTGTTTTACACTAATTTTCCTAAAAGTCTCACTCTAACAAAATATTTGTATGTGAAATATGTCCCCAAAAAGTGTGTTAAATAAATTTTTTCATCACTTTTAAAATTTTCTTAGAACAATTCATTTGGATACACAGAGAGATCCCCAAACAACAAAAGGAAGCAATCTTTCTTCAAGAAATCACCTCCAAGTAGAGGCTTGATGATGAGAGCTTGTGACACGGCCACCTAAGGAAAAAGCACTGTACCAAGCCACACTGTGAGGGCTTCCGTATCCAATGACCCAGTTTAAAATAAAGGCTGTTCCTTCTGCAGGATGGCTTTAAAACTTTGATGAAATAAAGATTACTATTTCATGGAGATGCTGAGTCCCTGCCAGTGACTCAATAGCAATTGTTTTTCATTGAAATTACAAGATTCTGGGCTGGCGCTGTAGCTCAGTGGCAGAGCGCTTGCCTTGCACATGTGGGGCACTGGGTTCGATCCTCGGCACCACATAAAAATCAACAAATAAAATAAAGACATGCTGTCCATCTATAACTACAAAATTTAACATAAAAAAAAAGAGAAAGAAATTACAAGATCCTCTACTTCAAGCTCCCAACTCTGCTGAAACAGCATTACAGCTTCACTGGGTCTCCTGGGACTTGGGCTCCTCCCTCTCCACCTTAGAAACACCAAGTCAGGTTCACTTGTCCCCTTCCCCAATCCAGTCTCTAGAGAAGACATTTCTTTCATCCATGAATGTAGACTCACTTGCCTAACTGACTGCCTAACTAGCCTAACTCACTTGCCTAACTAGTCTATCTCACTTGCCTAACTAGCACTATTCCTGCTGTGCACATCTCCAACATCAGGTCATCCAATTCAATTCAACAAATCCTGATGGAGCATCTGTACTTGCTGTGGCTACCACAGGTACAACAGCACAGTCCTTGCCTTTACTGGGTGCTCTCTCTTCCTCCAGCTAATCATCTCAGCCAGAGGAGCTCCAACTCCTTCAGCCTGCATCCCAGTACTATTTAAAGCCCTGCTCACTTTCAAGGGCCTGATTCCTCCTTTTTAGGAAGGCCTGCCTGATCCAACAACTAATACAAAGCATCCACCTCCTGAGCCTGAGGTGACCATATATGAATTACTTGGAAGATTGAGGGGGGAAGTTTTTTGCTAGTCAATACACATGAGTGCTACCTCTATGTTAGACACAGTGCAGAGTCACAGAATTCTAGGTAAGAGAACTTTGAAGCTGTAAGAGACTTTAAAATCACTCCACCCACCATGTGAAGATCATCTATGAAGCATGAAGTCTAGGGAGGTTACAGAACTCACTTTAGTCATGCCATTCTTTGGAGTCAAAACACAAATCCCCACACTTTGGCTCAGGATGTGCATGTACATTTTAAAAAGATATTGTTTCAGGTAGAATCAACTGCACAATAAAAGATAAATGGACAACCACAGCATGTACTTAAAATCCTTTAGCAGAAACAAGGTACTGGGAAGGAGACAGTGGGTCAGACAATGCTCTCTGACTCTGGGCAGGTGGGTAGGGCGCATGTGTAGAAGTAAAGGGAGGCCATTGAACATTTGTGATGCACCAAATTCAGAAACTGCTTCCCTTAGAAAATATGGGTAATCTCCTCAAAGTATTTAATGTTCATAAAGGAAAATGTTAATCCTTAAAGAAATTCCAGGAAAAGCAAGTCCAACAGAACTTTCTGCACTGAGCCACAATGGATGGTTTGCAGCTCTAGAATAAATGAACCAAATAAACTGAGCTATTTTCTCACCAGTGATATTCTGGAGGAACAGCAGAGGAATATTTCTTTGGCAGCATAACTGGACGAAGTGAGCGCCCTATAAGCAAATAACATAAAAATTCTTTTTTTAAAAAAATACAATTAACTCCATAACTATCTGCATCCCACAAAAATCACAATTTGGGTCAAAGAGAAGAAAGAATACCCTTTTTTGGATAGTCTGACCTTCTATTAACCATGACAGTAAAGGAACAGTGCTGCCTCACTGTTTATACCAAGCTGACTCTGCACACTCGCCTGTGTGATCACTGGCACGTTGCTGTAAGGCAACTGCTGTGTCGCAGATGAAGTTAATCACTAACATTCCAAGCAGCAAGTAAAACTTCAGTAACAGAAACGAAAGAACTACGGTCAGTGAGAATGGCTGAGCTTTGCTATAAAATAATTCTCTAATTTTCCATTTTAGAAAAAGAAAGAATGCAAAGATTTGGGGATATCCAGGATACCACTGACATCTTGGTGACCATTTGCTTCATGCATCAAGATGATTAAATATGGGCTGGGGTTGTGGCTCAGTGGTAGAGCACTTGCCTAGCATGCATGAGGCACTGGGTTCGATCCCCAGCACCACATAAAAATAAACAAATAAATAAAGGTATTATGTCCATCTACAACTAAAAAATTTTAAAATATATTATAAAATATATCTTTCTTACTCACATGCCCCAACAAAGAAATGGGATTTTAGATTAGGCTGAGTGCTAGAGATCTTCTAGCCTTCAGGTTAGGAAATTATTTACTGATCTAAAAATGTGACTATTCTATCCCTATCTTCGAAAGATTGTGTGAGCAAGAAACTTGTATAAACCATATCCTTTATGTTTTACTGTCTGCACATCTTTTATCTCCATGGGAAATGCCTTGGCTGGTACAAAATTGCAAAGTAATTGCTCAACCTCAATATGACTATGTTTACAAGAATGAGGAAATCACACAGACCTTTGGGGCTTATTTCAACAAATGAAATGTCAGACTGGAGCCAAACATAACTCCTCCTGGGTTTATCTGTGCCAAGCTGACAGATAAACCAAGTGGTTCGTCTGGCCTCAGTCTGACATTTCCTCTACTGAGATAAGTTATAAGTCATTATTTCAGTAGCATTTAATATTTTTGAAAACATCTATACTATTTAATGAAAATAAGCAATTCTTCCATCTATATATGGGACTATCAATTTTAGGTTCTTTTTTAAAAGAGAAAACTATAGAACCATAATAAATTTTATTAAAAGTTCTTTATAATGGGATTGTGGATGATTTATATTTGCTTTATTGTTACTTTGTTTTGGTTTTTTTTAAATAATTGAGCTGAGGGAATAATAATGGAAAGCAGAATATAGAAACTGGTTTTATTGATGAAACATTTCACCAAAGACAAATGCTTCCTCATTTAGGGTGTGAAAAAGTTTAACTGGCTGTTTCCTATAATAATAAGGAATACTTTACTAAAACTAAACTTTTTTCCTAAGACAACACTTTATCAAAGAAGTACATGAATTACATTTACTTAAGGTGAGGTAATCTGAGACAATGATGCATGGAATCACCCAGTAAGCCAAAAGATATTCAAGAGCTCACTCTTTAAAGCCAGAACACCAGTAACAAAAACCTACTATTTCCCATTTCCACAAAGTAAAAGCAGATGACAGGATAGAAAGGAATAAATAAATAGCTCACAGCTCAGAAGCACACGCATAGGGTAGCCGAATCCCTCCCACACATCAGCCCCAGAGGAGGAGCCCCTTTCAGAACAAGTCTCCCCAACCTTCTCTGAACACATACTTGTGATTGCAATTGTAATTGAAGTATCTCCTAAGAATTTTCCTAAAACAGCATATTTGACATTTTGATAGAGCTGCAGTTTTTCCATCACATCATGTTAATTTAACCAACATAACTTTCAAACACAAACATACATGCACAGGTATAAACATGTACACAGCATTTTGTCTGCTAAGATGTCTGGTTAAACATTATAAAGCTTTTATGCACTAAATTTTCATTCATTATTTGACCTTCAAAATTAATTGTGCTAGATTAAAACAGAAACTCTTGAAGTCTTTTTAGCAGTACTTGCCTTTTTTGCAGATTCAGAAAACAGAACTCCATTGTTTCCAATGATGCCTATGGGGTATCCAAATATTCGAGCAAATCCTCAAAAGAAAATTAAGAAAGAATTTACATTTTTCAGAAGGCTTTTAATTCTCACCAGAAGCACACTTACACATTCTTTAATTTCAGATCAAAGTTTAAAATGTAAAGGGATTTTTATCTATGGCATAAAATAGCTCATGTCACAATATTTTATTCTTATGGTACCAGAGGCTGGTTTTGTTCTTTGCTTCTGAAAAGGGTCATGTTACATGTAAAGTTGTCTATTTGTACTGGGTTACTTGGATTAAATGATTGGTTCAGTGTGTCATCCACTCATTCATTTAACACATACCTGAGTTCCTGGTGTGTACCAGACACTATGGATATTCCGAAATACAACAAGCCAAAGGCACAGAGATATTTAAAGGTTATTGTTCAGATCTATTTCCCAGCTTGACCAAAAATGCCTGTGGTAACAACAGACCCTTAAAATAAAAAGGATAAACTCAGGGAAACAACTTAGAATTAAATAAATAAAACAAGAACAGTTAAGTCTGGAAGTGATCAAGGATAAAGCAAGAAAGCCAGTTAGGCTTCAAAGAATGAATCACTTCACTTTCGTTTTCAGTTTGCATCTTTTTTCTTCTTTTCACAAGTGCCATCTCTCTATCACCACTTCCACTACCACTTCAAACACCCACCCTATACAAACACACACACAAGAAACAAGGGGAGGGGAAGCGGGGGCAGGGAGAGGGAGGGAGAGAGGGAAGGAGGAAAGGAGAGAGACGGCAATTGTTATTTTGTTAGGCAGGTGTTTAAGGTTATTTAAGAGGAGGCTAATTATTTGCAAACCAGAAGAACTTGACTAGAGAGACCTTCTCCAGAGAGATTTCCAACAAGCCAAGGATGGGCTAAATGTGTTAAGTATTTAACAGGGTAGAACACCTGTAGGTATGTACCTGTAGGAAGAGCATCTTACAAGTGAGTCATGTGCTATATTCCCACGAGGTGAATCCACCCATGTGAATGGGTGTCAAATACTTGGAACCCAAGAATCCACACTCTGTGGACCAAAGTGGGTCAAAGAAAGCTTACTACAAAAGCCTACACACCTGGACTCTACCTCTTCAACCTCTAGCTGCACAGGCTGTGGAGCCTGATACAAAGCAGGTGCTCAAAACATCAGAGAAGAAAAATTAACAGATAAGAGCACATTGACATATTGATAAACCAAAATGCTGAACTTTTAGAGACAGATTTTTGTTCTTAACTTTTCCTTATATTGATTTATTACCTTTCTAATTGATTATGTTTATTTAATGTGATAAAGTGGAATACTGATTTGATGGCCATAGATTTCTTTTTGTCTTACAGTCCTAAAATCCCAGCCAAAAGCCTAAGCTGCATATCCTAAATGGCCCTGCCACTTATAGAAGCTATTCAGGGAGAGCTAAGCTAGCCACTCCTAAGAGTGTCCACTCACAAAGAGATGAGACTCTAACATGATCCACTTGCAAGATGCCACTCTGCACATTAACTACCCTGTTGACTACATAGGCATTCAATCCACCGTTGGCCCTGCCTAGGGATCTCCAGACATAATCAGACTTGTTGAATGGGGCCCATGGCCCCACTATCCTAGGGACGTCATGGAAGGAAGGTCTTCACTAACTGCCTGATCCAAAATGGAATTCTGAAGAGAAAAGCAAAATGTCCAAGAAATCTCCTGGGGCCTAAGGATGAGTGCTGAAGCAGGAGGAAACCCTGAAGAACTCCCAGACACACTTGAGCCTCTGGAGAATTCTGGTCTCCCCTCTCACCCTCTATACCTCCCACCCTCTTCCTCTGGTCTTCCCTCTCCCCTTCTCTTCCCCCAGCCTTACTTACAGCCCAGTGTAGTCAAGAAAATATGGAGGAAACTGGATGTAGCCCTGGTTTCCTAGGGGACAAGGGCACCACAAGTACTGGGCAAATATATAAAAGTAGATGACAGGGACAGCCCATCCATCTTTAGAGAAAGCAGACAAGCTTTGACTTGTTTGAAACCACAATACAATGAGGGTTACATCCTGCACTATTTGGTGACAAATCCTGCCTATATATCAAACAAAAAGCTCTTAATCACTTAAACACCTAAATACAAAAACATAAATTCCACTCCCATTGTGAATCCTCCTTCTGCTCACAAATCAAGCTAGGAGAAAGTGCTGAAATTTCTCCTTAAGCTTCAATGTACATTTGCAATTTGGACTTTTGCAGCTAGTTTTTATGTCCCCCTCCTCTGATATGTTATTGTCAGGATAACTACTATATTTTCAAGCTTTTTAACACCAAGTAAAATTCATAAAATGTGTTCTGCCATTTGGCCAAGATATATTGAGTCTAGCAGCTGTTTGAAATATTTTTTTCTTCAAAGGCCTATAAACTTAATACCTTAGACAAAAGAATTAACATGTATAATAATCTTATTTGTTTTTCTAGATGTAGCATACTGTCCTGCATGCATCAGCTTAAGACCCCACAGAGGCTGTGAGAAGACTTAACTCACTCTACATTCTTCTGGAAAGCTAAAACATCACATAAAACTTCCCAGTTGAATTGGAGACTAAAGAACAAAAGAGACAATGCTGAAATTTTCAAAATAACTAGTCATCCAGAGAAACAAAAATCATTACAAATATTTTCTGCTGACTTTAAGAATATTGTTATATAATGCCACAAAGTCACAAATAAGGACTCATATCACAGCATCCAGCCATCATTTTAAACTCTCAGGAATCATGAAACCATTTAACTACAAATCACCTTTATAAAATAGCTCCTTTTGAAAACTGACTCATACATGTGTAGTGCTCTAAATAACAAAGCTCTTGCCAAGTGTATCAAAGCCTTGAGAAAGGAATCACTCATTTCAAACCAGTAGAAAATGTTCACATTTTCATTCCTTCACTTGCATACCTGTAACTAATGTGTCTCCATAGAAGGCTTTGAACTCATTGAATCTGCTTCCATCCACGATCCTAGCAATGACCTAAGAGGGAAAATGACAGTGTTCCTCAGAAATTATAACACAAAATAATGTTTGCATTAAAGTAATTTATAAGGAAAACAATTCAGTGACATTGCCACTTTCACAAAATTTCACTTAACGTGCACAGTGAATACCCTAAAATCACTCTGGGCTCTAATTTTACATCTCACTATAAAAAGGCACCATGTTGTGCACAAGAAAAGCTGCAAAGACTGGGGGCTGGGCTTAGAGAGGCTGTCAAATGCCTCCTCGAGTTCTGGGAACTGACCAGAGAGCAGGGCATGGACAGAGCCTGCAGTCAGAAGACGTTGGCTCAGATTGTATCACCTGACTTAGGTGTTCCAGAGTGAGTCACTTAACCCATCAGAGCCTCAGTTTTCACTTCTGGAGAAGATGGAACAAAACCAGAATGAACTAGTAGTAAAGAACCTAAGAAAATAATATTAAAATGAAGAACCAGTCTGACTTCCAGCTCTACCACTGAGCAACAAATCTTAAAATACTCTAAGCCTGCTTCCTCATCTGTTAAAAAAAAATCATAACAACACTGGAAAAAGTACTAACTGAAGCATACTAACCGGCTTTCATTGAAAGATAGGTATTAGGGGGCTGGGGTTGTGGTTCAGTGGTAGAATGCTCCTGGGTTCAATTTTTAGTACTCCCCCCAACAAAAAAGAGCTATTATTAATTATTAGTAGTATTCTCTCAATAATTGCTCATTAATTCTGACACACTTGAAAGAGATTCACATATATTGTCAATCTAAATCTAAAGGGAGCAGAAATTACTGAGGAGTTGATCCTTTAAGCTCATCAGGACTATTTCAGTAGAGCACATGCTTGGCACTTGTGAGGTCCCAAATTCAAACCCCAGCAGCAAACACACACACACACACACACACACACACACACACGAGTCCTAAACATGAAGCATACCCAAACTTCTTCAGAAACTGTTTTAGATGATACATATTATTTTCTATATAGTTCATACTTCCCTTTTCTGGCTTACCACATCAATCAAAGCTTTTTCTAATTAGATGCAAGGGTTGAAAAATGAGGGAATGCTTCCTAACATCTTTTTCTGCATAAGGTAAGAGCTTACTTTGAACTGTTTTTTAGTTCTTTTCCTAAATATGGGAATATAACAGTTATCTGTTTTAGGTTCTATGACCTCCAAAACTGAAACTTTTAACAAGCCATCAACACATAACTACCGCCCACACGAAGATGAAGCTGCTCAAAGGGCACAGCAATTTAGGGTCACTTAGTATAACACTACCTCATATTTACTTTACAATTAACAATATCCTCTCATACAAAATATATTATCTTCATAAGAATTGAAACTTTAGGAATAGACAACGTGGTACTATCACATTTCTAGAAGCAGAAACTGATACTCAGGTTAAATCCCACTACTTCTAACTAGGGGAACATGAGCTAGAAGTCAGGTTTTTAGACTTAGATTCCAGTGCCATCCATGGCTCCATACACTGCCAAAACCTCTGAACAAGGCTTGTTAATATAGAAAAATGTGATAAATTATGACGAGCATGTAGCAGCAAAATCTAGAAACCCAGGTCATTTAAGAAGGCAAGAGTTTATCTTTTTTATAAGATTTCCATTAAAATGAAGTCTCACAAAAGCATGACTCTTCTTTTGTTCACTTCTGAATCCTGGTGTCTGAAACAACATGTGCACAGAACACATACTGAATAAAGGAAGAAAAGGTTGTGCTAAAAAAGGATAACTTCTCAGTCATCTAGAAACTTGGTTGTCTGGAACAACTGGGTTCTCAAGCACATTAGATTCCAAGTACCATGTTCTCTGTGCCTAGGCATAATTAAAAGTCAAACTAAAGACCTAATTCTAAAACTTACAGTTAACAAAGCTACCTTGCTAAAGAGAAGTGCCAGTTGAAGCTCTATAAAATTCCAAAATGTAAGACCCTTTAGTAATAGTAAGGCTTTGCTCAAATAAAATAGTCGCACGTGTCTATACAATGGAATATTACACTCATCAACTCATTCAAAAAACATTGGCTGAGTGCCTACCATGTTGCCAAGTACTATTATAGGGATTAGGACCTAACCACAGAAAATGCTTGATGAAGAACTTTTAAGGTCAAGAGGAAGTGCTTACAATCTAAACTGGAAAAGCAGAATTTAAAAAATTAAACATATACACAAATAAATTTCAACCATATTAAAATGTATACAGCCATCCCTCGTAATCCATGAGGGGCTAGTTCTAGGCCCTCTTACCAAAATCCACAGATGCTCAAGTTCCTATGTAAAATGTCACAGTATTTGCATATAACCTACACATACCCTCCCATATACTTTAAATCATCTCTAGATTACTTATAAAACTTAATACAATGCAAATGCTATGTAAATAGTTATTATGCTAAGAAATCTGTACGTGTACAAAACAGATGTTATTTTTTAAAATATTTTCAGTCTGAAGTTGGTTGAATCCAAGGATACAGAACCCATGGATATAGGGAGCCAACTGTATACACACATGAAGTCAAAACATCAAAATATTGGCTGTTTTCTCTGGATGGTGGAATTATAAGCAAATTTATTTTCTTCTTTTCTACATTTTTTATAGCTAGTACATGACTGTTGTTTTATAGTCAAGGGGAAAAAGTAACTTAAAATACTAAATTTCCTAGCATAGAATATGATAGTAAGATAATTTCCTAGCTTAAAAATGATTTTGCTAGCTACAGATATTGAACAACATAAAAGCTTATGTGCTCATGCAAACACTAAAATTGTCAATCTAGATTACAGAACACTATGCTGGCAATCTGCAACCATAGCAACATCTTCCACTGTAATCAAGTTTACTACTCACTAATGTCATACTGCTCTAAAAGGGTACCTTTTCCTTCCAACAACTTAGTGACATTTTGTCCATATCCTAAAATAAGAACACCAAAAAGAAACAGTTGGAAATTGTGACACTGTCCCAACCTAGTTCCTAATGTCCACATGAATATGGAGTTCTATGAACAAACCAAGCCTTGTTTTCCTGCAAGGAAAACTTCCCAATCATTAAGAGACTTTCCCCCTCTCTCTTTGAGTATGTACCAGTGAAACCTACCACATGGAAAGACATCTTTCCTGTATACTACTCCTCATTAAGAGCCACATCAGTCCTGGTGCATGAATACCCTGTAACAAAACTTCAGCTCTGAAGACACAGAGACTGCCAGCATGGCTTACAGCTTACAGTTCCACTTTCTCATACCTCTCGGATATCAAAATTCCGCTTGAGGTTAGCACCAACTATTCCATACATCTCATCAGCAGGAAATAAAGGCTCTTCAGAAGGTTCAATGGTAACCTATAGAAATCGAGAAAAATTGTGAAAACATGATTCAGGTGGCATAAGCCAAAATTTTTTTTCAGGAAAATGAAAGAAAAACACATCCTACTCACATCTAATTTCTTCTGATAATTCAGACTCCTCACAACCTTTCTAGTCAAGTGAAGGGCATGATGATCATTCAAAGCATAGTGGTCAGTGACTCCAGATTTTCTATAGAGTAAAGCACATGAAAATAACCAGAATGCAAAGTAACAGAATTAAATATCTTCCACCCCAAATGCCTTCTGTTATCTAAGAATAATCGCACTTTTACTTCCAAAACACTTTAATAAATGTAATCTTGTTCTATTCTTATAATGTCCCTGGAAAAAGAGCATTATCTTGTTTTACAAAAATAAAAAAATCTGAGATATACCTTGCCTGAGGACAGGGGAAACTGTGTCAGAAACCCAGGCCTCCCATTTCCCAATCTTGACTTTTTGCAAGACCCTGGGGCCTTGCTTGCTGGCCAGGGCCTCTGTTAAGTGTTCATTCCGTGTACCTCAAACCAACTGTATGGGATGTACACACTTTCACATGCAGGTCGTGACAGCATCAAATGTTTGTAACTAGCTCAGCTTCTAATGAGGACACCAACTATTGTCTTTCATTTCTGGGAGACTTCTGAGCCCCTTCTTACCAAGCGACCCCTGAGAGTAAGCTGTCACAGGTAACAAAAAGGTTTGAATACACCATCCCTCAGAAGATGGATAAAATGAAAATTGATGGAATAGCTCTGTGATAAGAGCCATGGAAGTTTCTGCTCAATTTCAAGTGCAATGAATGACGTCTGGGCTTGCTCTGGTAGTTAGTCCTGTCCCAACTAGATGCCTTGCTTTTTCAGATGCAGATGTACAATGACTTTCTAATAAAGTATTTTTAAAATTCTGTAAATTCAGACAAAATAATATATCCCTGAAAATAGAATTTAGGTTCACTTTATGATTAAGGACTATGCTGCTGCACTGTTTTAACATCCTGCCTAAGGACACCGCCCAACCTTTGGGAGACCTTCTCAGAGCTGGGCTCTCATGATGGGTTACATTACTCTACTCCTGGATTGGATACTCCTAAACAAGAGTAGAGACCAAATTTACTCTCTTCATAGCCTTCCAATGCTTGTCAAGTGGCAGACCCTTCAGTTTCTTTAATAAAAAGTTTACAGGTGACCTTTTATTTATTTATTTAATTTTGATGCTAAGTATCAACCTCAGGACCTCATGTATGCTAGGCAAGTGCTCCACTGATGAGCAAGCCCTTAACCCTATCATTTTAAATGCTTCATGCATAATACCAGCTATAACTGCTGACTGCTAACTGCTGTAATTCAGTAAGAAACAGAAACAGAAGAAACCACTTACTCAAAATACAATGATTTCTAATAAAAACTGCTTAATATTTACCAAAACAGCAGGAAAAGAAAATCTTTGATGAGTTACTTATATAAGTCCCTTTTTTTTAAATCAAATTAGCTCTTATGGATAAGTAATCAGAATGGTATAAATATGTATTTATGGGCTGGGGTTGTGGCTCAGCAGTAGAGTGGTCGCTTCGCACGTACAAGACCCTGGGTTCGATCCTCAGCACTACATAAAAATAAATAAGTGAAATAAAGGTATTGTGTCCAACTACAACTAAAAAAAAAATGTATTTACAATGACAAAGAGACAAGGCAATTTGTGACTATTAATTTTATGTGTTTTTTTTTAAATGTGATCAGCATCTATTCATTTCCAAATATTTTAAATGAATTATTATGAACAACAATAATTATAGTAATAGAGTGCTTGGTGTATACTAGAAACTGCTATAAGGTAGGTACTGTTCAAATCTTTGTCTTACACATAAGTAAATGAGGCTCAAGGAGACTAGGTAGTTTGTCTAAGTCACAAGGGTAACAGATGAATACAAGACAAAGGCAGAATCTACATCCCTAATTTGATACACTGCCTAGAGCTTTGCTTTTTAAAATTTATAAAAACGAATGGTCCTCAAATACCATCTCCCGCTCCTTCCTTTCATTAAGTTCCTACAAACATTAGTCCATTCTGTACTATGCTTCTAACTCGCCCTTTTCTACCTGCATCCCGGTCTCTCGGATTGGCACATGCACCACTGCCAGGGAAATCGCGTGCTGATCTCCTTGCAAGGGTGGGTAAATGGAAAGAGGCACAGTCACACTGCACCTATGCTTACACAGCCACTTACCTAATAAACAAGGGTTCTGTTCCCATTTGACAACACTCACCTCACCTGCCAAGCTTTTCTCAAAGACTGTCAACTCCACCCTAGTCATTCCTTTAATCATTCTTCCTAAAACTGCAAGCATGTTAGTATATTTGTAATTTTTTAATTCACTCATTCATTTCTCTTATGTACCTAATTAAATTATAAATCATGAAGGGTAGGGACTAGAGCTGGAATTTTTTTATTACTCATAACAATACAATCAATCTATCCACAATAAATGCTCCATGTGAAAGGAATGAATAAAAAACTAAAACAAAGGTCCTTTAACCAGCTATTCAAAGGCACAGCAGGTTTCTGGAAGGAAAGTGGAATCTTACCACCCATTGCCCTCTTCTCACCTGGCCTCTTCCCACAGCATCCTGGGTCTATGATATGGCAGAGCAAAGGGAAGCTTACTACACCTGCCAGGCCAGTCAACTTGGTGATCAGATCTGCTTGCCATTGAGGACATGGTGCTGGGCCTTCTTCTCTATTTGCATTCATGATGAGGTGAGCTCGCCTAATCCAAAGGTTTTAAATTCCACCTCTGTGCAGATGATCCCCAAATAAAAATCTCCAGTCCTGATCTCGCCTCCAGACTCTTACAGCCAACTGCCTGCCCAGCAATCTCTATGTGGATGTCTCCAAGTATCTCTAATTTCTCAGATCCTAAAGGAGTACTTGATCCTGCTGTCCTAGCCCCTGATATGGTCCTCTTACACTTATCTTTATCACCCCACATTCCTGTCCTGTATCACCAAGCCCCTCAATCCCACCTGTAAAATAAGGGCACTCTAAGGGTGTTTGTTAAAATACACAAGAAACCTGTCTCTACAACCCTTCTCAGCTATAATGAAAAAGCTGATGCTCAACTTGCATCCAATGCAATGCATGTAGAATTGCATTCCAAAATGCAACTGTAATCCAAAGAATTGATCCCAGAACAGTTGACTGGGAACAATTAAATTAGTTTGGCCTGGCAAGCTTAATACTTATAAATAATAATAATAATAAATTAATTAATAATAACAATAATAATGTAAAACCTCTGTTAAATAAACAAAATGACAATCAATCCTAAAAAGAAACAACCATTCCTGTTTCACCTGCAATGAAGATCAGCACCTCCAAGATCCTCAGCAGACACCTCTTCACCAGTAGCCGCTTTAACCTACAAGGATAAAAATCAACAGTGACTGATCCCCTGGAGATACAAAATGCTTTCCTAATGAGTTCATCTCCTAACCTGACCACATTTACACTCTTCCACAGAGATGAAGAACTAAGTGTTCTCATTTCATTTACTAGCAAACCAAGAGGTTATCTCTAGTTTCCAAATGAAAACTCTGAACCCAACCTCATCAAGAACATTCCCACAGCCCCTGTGAAAGCAATGGAGTCTGACTTGGGCCCAGGGGATTCTGATGGAAGGCTCATACCTTCCCCTCCATGATGCTCGCTGCCTCAACACACTGGAAAGCCTTTGAGTCTGTGCACGCTCCTCCCACTGCCTGGGATCCCTTCTCCTCTCACCTACTGCGTTAATTCCCTTAGCCTGTGAGACCCATCTCCAGTTGCTTGCTCCATACCTCTTCCCTGACCCACGCAGGCCTCCACAAGGTGAATGACACCCATGGTCTTAACAGAGTAATGCCTGTCTCTCTGTGGCCACAGAATTAAACCTCAGATTCTTGCCAGACTGGGTTTCAGAAATTTGCACAAATCTGTCATCATTGAGTGTTCCCTGGGGGCAGGACCATGATTTTTCTGTCTTCAAATACTTGAATTCTAGGCTGTAAAATTCCAGTTATTATCACCAATTCTGTATTCTACATTTAAGGCAAGGAGAAAAAGTCTCCAAAAGTACCGAAATCTAAGCTCTAGTAGATGTGACCAAAAAGAAAGAAACCTTAAGTAATAAATCAAGAATGACTCAATTAAGCCTGAGAAATTGCAACAGGAAAAAGAGAGAAAAATCGTTTAATGCTAAATGCCAAGCTGATTCCTCAGGAATTATATATTGATTCCTATGTCTTTGGGTTGATTAATTTGTTTCTTCTTTTTCACACAGGAAAGGTTTTTATTAGAATAATGAACGTTAATCTAAAATACAGCATAGAAATGACTTATCTATCATTCACCACATCAAAAGTTCTGTCTTAAATATCTTTCCACAGGGAGAAATAATTAAAATTTCCAACTCCAATTATTCCGCCCCCAGGAACCAATTATTGGGTCTCTTCTTTCCAAAAATTTCAGTGTACAATAGCATTCAGTCCAGACAATAACTAATTATAAGAGGTGTCTGGATATTTAAAGTTGTAAAAAGGAATAAACAACAGATATACTATATTTATTTTTAAATATCTGACTAATATCAACTGAAAAAAAAAACAAGGATTTGTCATCAGTTAATATTCATTGAACACCCACAACATGTTTGATACTGTGGTAAATGCAAAAATGATAAAAGTTGGAGAAAATTAAAACAGCTTGTTCTACTAAATAACAAGTTCAGAAAAGAAACAAGACAGGAGAACAAAAAGCTCCTTCTAAAGCTGATTACTATCCCCTTGTTCCAATCACTCTCAGCTACTCAAAGTAACAGCACCTGAATGTCACACCGTGAAACTGCAGAGCCTTTTTTCCACAGTCTGCAGGGGTCAGAATTGAGTGGATGGGGTGCCTGCTTTTTTTTTTTTTTTTTCCTCCCCTAACCATGGGCTTCCAAAGGCAGTCAGACCACCGAGGAAGGTTCAGTTTTAGAGGACTTGAGGCTTCTCTGGCTGTTTGAGCTGCTTCTTTCTGACACAAAAATCTGAATCCAAAGAACAGACACTTTACTCCAGTTATTAAGATGCTGCCTATATTTCCAGTAGACGTTTTCAAAATTCTTTACTCATTTTCTAATGAAAAGTAAGAACTACTAATAGAAAGTAAACGATACAGAACAACTCCACAGATATAAACTTTGCATTTTCTTCTTCTGTTAATCCATGACAGCTATTACATTCAGCATGAGAGTGTTAAGGAATAATAATTGCCAGCATTTTGAATAAAACCTTGAGACTTTAATTACTTTTAAATGGCAACCATTCAGCTTACCTTATCTTCCATAAGAGTTATAAAAAATTAACACTATCACTTGGGAAATACACTACATCAAAGCATGAACTTTTTTTAAAAAACTTTTTTCTAGTTGTAGATGGACAGCATGCCTTTTTTTTTTTTTTTTTTTTGAGAGAGAGAGAGAATGAATGAATATCTTTTTTGTAGATGGACACAACACAACGCCTTTATTTTTTATGTGGTGCTGAGAATCAAACCCGGGTCCTGCCCGTGCTAGGCGAGCACTCTAACGCTGAGCCACATTCCCAGCTCTGCATGCCTTTATTTTATTTGCTTATTTTTGTATGTGATGCCTCACACATGCTAGGGAAGCACTCTACCACTGAGTTAAAACCCCAGCCCCCAAAAGCATAAACTTTTTTTGTGTGTGTGTGCCAGGAATTGAACTCAGGGACACTCAACCATTGAGCCACATCCCCAGCCTTATTCTGTATTTTATTTAGAGACAGGGTCTCACTGAGTTGCTTAGTGCCTTGCTTTCGCTGAGGCTGGCTTTGAACTCATAATCCTCCTGCCTCAGCCTCCCAAGCCAATGGGATTACAGGCATGTGCCACCATGCCCAGCAAGCATGAACTCCTTAACATACTCTTTTTAATAAATTTGTATTCGTATTCCAAAACCAAAGATGATTCTTTGACTTTTTGAAGTGATAAATTTACTTTTTAAAATATAATTCACATATCATAAGATTCAGCATTTTGCACAAAAGCATTCAATTCAGTAGCTTTGCACATATTCCCAAGATTCTGCAACTGTCCCCAATATCTAGTTCCAGATCATTTCATCAATCCATCCACATCAGTAGTCTCTCCCCCTCCCACCCAGCTCCCAGTCCTTGGCAACACTGATCCTTCTTGTGTCTATGAATTTACCTATTCTAAATATTTCACACAAGTAGCATCATTTAATGTGTGCCCTTTTTTGTCTGGCATGATGTTTACAAGGACCAGCTATGTTGTCATATGTCAAAACTTCACTTTATGTATGCCTGAATAATATTCCACTGTGTGTATAATATAGTTTTATAACTTGCTTGACAACATTCCTCTTTTTACCTATTGCATAGCACTGGATTTTTCTTATATTGTGGGGTATTTTGTTAGAAGGTGTACTAATCATTCAAGTCTAGGATCACTATGTGACTGAAACACAACAAAGCAAAGAATGCACCACCAAGTCACTGATGTGCAGTCAGCCCAAGCAGAGGTGAGGAAAAGCATCAGAGACAAAATCCAGTCATCCTGGGTGGATGGCCAGTAAGGCTGAATAGTGCTTCACTCTCAGCAGAGTCCCGTGATTGGGGTTTAATGCTCTGTGGTCACCCTCTTGAAATTCTTAATCTCTGCATTCTTAATCTTGGAAATTCTTGTTCTGATTTGTTTTGAAACAGAATCTTGCTAACTTGCTCAGGCTGGTCTAGAATTTTGGGCTCAAGAGAGCCTCCTGCTTCAGCCTCCCAAGTGCTGGGACAATAGGTACATGCCACCACCCAGCAATCGTTAAAATTCTTGATCTTTGAATATGTATTTTGTAAGTGACATCTGAGAGGACAATGGGGCACATATGTTGGGGCTTGGAGTCGCAGTTCTTTCCTGATCTGCCTTTGCCACCTTCCAGGGATGAGTTTAGCTCTGTGCTTCCTCCTGACCTGTACCTGGGCCTACCTCCTCTTCCCCATGCCCACCTAACAATTGTTGCGGCATGTGCCTCGAGTGCGTGCAGAGAAGGTGCAGGGAGAATCTGTGTCTCAAGATGAAGCACCAAAAGACAGTCATTGTCCTGAGCTGCATTATGGAGGTGTGGTCTACAGCAGGGAACAGGGTGGGAGGTGGAAGCTAACCTCCTATCCTCTCTTGATCTAGGCAACAAGCACATCCTGGGCATGGAGGCTGCACATCTGTTGAGAATAGTGTCTTCTGTGGGATGGGATGGCCCACTGGAAGCAGAGATTCCTGGGAAGGGGAGTTCTTATGCCAGAGGGAGCATAACATTAGAAAGTAAATTGAGGCTGGGCACAGTGGTGCATGCCTGTAAACCCAGAAGCTCAGGAGGCTGAGACAGGAGGATTGCTAGTTCAAAGCCAGCCTCAGCAACTTAGCAAGGCCCTGAGCAATTTAGCAAGACCCTGTCTCAAAATAAAAAATAAAAAGGGGATGTGACCCAATGATTGAGAGCCCATGGGTTTAATCCCTGGTACTAAGAAGAAAAAAAAAAGTAAATTTAAAGAAAAAAACACGACTATAATTTAGGACCACAGAAGAAAGGGAACATAGAAGAAAAGGAAATGGTTTATACTTTAGTACCCTTAATGATATTTTTTCCTACTTTTGAAAAAGCAGTCCCATATTTTTCATTTTGTACCAGGGTCTACAAATTATATAGCTGGCTCCACCAGTAGTTCATAAAGGTTGTTAGCATTAAAAATTAAGACCTCTCACGGGTATTCTAACTTGCTCTTATTTTTTTTAATCTTTGAAAAACCTTTTTAATAGGTCATAAATTCAAAAGTCAAAGGCCATTCTCCCATCCTGTTTCCTCTACTCTATACTTATTGTATCTTTTACAGAATTTTAATGCTTGTATAAGAATATAATGTATATTTCCCCTATTTTATACAAAAGTTAATATACTGTATGTGAGCACCTTGCTTAACTTAACAATTCTCAATTTGTTACTGAATTGAAAAATAGTAAAGATGAGCTAGAAAAAGAATCAGTTCATTTCTTCAGCCATGATCACTCAATGCAGAGAAGAGGACAGTCCTATCTACAAATGATGCTGGAACAACTGTATATCCACTTGTAAAGCACTGCTGGACCCCTTCCTTAAGCCTTACCTCACACTATCCCTAAAGGGATCAGGACCTAAATGTACAAACTAAAATTATAAAACTCTCAAAAGAAAACAAAAGAATAAATCTTCATGACCTTGGGTTAGGCAAAGCTTTTTTGGATATGAAACCAAAAATATAAGTGACAAAAGGAAAAAAAACATAAGTTGAACTTCATCAAAATTCAAAAATTTTGTGTTTCGAAGGACATCATCAAGACAGCAAAAGGCCCACAGAATGAGAAAAACTATTTGCAAATCATATATCTGATAAGGGAATTGTATCAAGAGAATGTAAGAATTTTTACAGCCCAATAAAGACAAATAGCCCAATTATAAAATGAGCAAAAGATCTGAATAGACATGTCTCCAAATATATACAAATGGACAATACGTACATGAAAAGATGCTCAATATCATGAGCCATTAGGCAAACACTAATCAAAACCAAAATGAGGTACTACTTTACTCCCTCCAGGATGGCTATAATCAGACCGACACACAAATACAAACGTTGTTGAGGATGTGGAGAAATCAGAACCCTCATGCACTGCTGGTGGGAAGGTAAAACATGTTTTGGATAGGTTGGCAGTTCCTCAAAATGTCAAACATGATTATCAAATGACCCAGCAATTCTGCTACGTATATGCCAAGAAAATGAAAACATGTCCAATAAAAAATGTGTACATGAATGTTCCCAGCACCCTTATTCATAATGTCCAAAAAAAAAGAGACAACCTAAATGTCCATCAACTGATAAATGAATAAATAAAGTGCAGCATAACCATACACTGGAATGTCATTCAGTCAAAAAAAAAGAAGTGGGGCGAGATTGTGGTTCAGTGGTAGAGCACTTGCCTAGCACCTGTGAGGCACTGGGTTCAATCCTCACCACCATATAAATAAATGAATAAAATAAAGTTACCAAAAAAAAAAAAAAAAAGAATGAAGTGATTCTTAAAAAGGTGAATACAGAATACCATACAACCCAGCAATCCACTTCCAGTTATATATACACAAAAGAAATGAAGGCAAAAACTCAGATATGTGTACACCCATATTCATAGTAGTATTAGTCATAATAGTCCAAAATTGTATCCCAAATGTCAACAGGAGATGGATAAACAAAATATGGTATACACATACAATGAAATGTTTTTCAGCTTTTAAAAGAAATGTAATACTGACATTTGCTACAACAGAGATATTATGCAAAGTGAACTATTCATAAAAGGACATTATGCAAAGTGAACCTTTCATAAAAGGACAAATACTATATGATTCTACTTACATGTAAGGTACCTAGAGTAGCTACATCCAGAGACAGATAGGAAAGTGGTTGTTGCCAAGGAGGTAGAGCTGAGAAGAATAGGAGTTAGTGTCTGATGGCTTTCAGTGGGGAAGACAAAAAAGTTCTAGAGATGGGTAGGCTGATGGCTGCACAATAATATGAATATACTTAATGCCACAGAATTGTACACTTAAGATGATAAATTTTATGAAATATATATATTACCATAATATTTTTTAAACCATCAAAATATATTTAAGTCAGATGCAGTGACACATGCCTATAATCCCAGCAACTCAGGAGGCTGAAGCAGAAGGATCACAAGTTCAAAGTTGTGCTCAGTAACTTAATGGGACCCTGTCTCAATAATTAAACATTTAAAAAAGGGCCAGGGATGTGGCTCAATGGTAAAGATCCTTTGGGTTCAGTTTCCAGTACCAAAAAACAAACCAAAAAACACAGTTAAGTGGTATATTTTATGTCATATATACTTCAGTCGAGTTCATATTCTTACCAAAGGGGGTCCTGCCAAGAAAATTGTACCCTGCTTGCGTACAATGATGTTTTCATCCGCCATTGCAGGCACATAAGCACCTCCTGCTGTACAGGAACCCATGACCACTGCTATCTGGAATGGAAGCATAAAACCACCGTGAGATGCAGCGCAAGCACTGAATTATGTGGTGTTTGACCTACAGTCTCACAAACCAGGGGATATTACTAGCTGATCCCTGAACTTTGTTTGAAAAATTGAATCCTCTCAATGTTTGGAATAGTATCCAGACTTTTTATCAAAACATCTTGAAGGTCAGGCTAGCCTGAGCAACTTAACAAGACCCTATCTCAAAATAAAAAATAAGAAGGGATAGAGATATAGCTCAGTGGTAAAGAGCCCTTGGTTCAATCCCTAGTATCACCTATCAATCAATAAAACATTTTAAAGGGCTTATATCATACTTCTCAAAATATATGGACAATCTCCTGGTCAGAAAGAAGAATGGACTAAACAATTAATAAAAAGAAGAAACCCATGTGACACCCAGTTTAAATAAATCCTCTATATAACCATCACTTATTTCACAGGAATACTGAAATAATTCTTCAAATGAGTGTTATTAATATATTGTGTTACCCCAAAAATGATATTTTCTAAATATAAAACTGATGTTACCATTGTTTTCAAAATCTTGCTTAAAAGCCAAATATGGTGATGCACACCTGTATTCTCAGCCACTCAGGAAGCTAAGGTAAGAGGATCACTGATCCCAGAAGTCCAGGGCCCGCACCTGGGAATCATGGCTGGACCTTGCACGTCCTAGGCAAGTGCCCTACTGCTGAGCCACAACTCCAGGCCCTCTTATATGTTTTTTTCATTGGAAAATTTTAAAAGGGATGTAAAAAATTCTTGCTTGAATTTTAGTATGGCACAAATAATAATAAGTACTGGTTTGGCATTATCCCTGCACAGAAAAAGAAATATCACCAAAGAAAAGAGCTCTTTGCGGCTGGGGTTGTAGCTTAGTGGCAGAGTGCTTGCCTCACACACGTGAGACACTGGGTTCAATTCTCAGCACCACATAAAAATAAACAAAGATATTGTGTCCATTTATAACTAAGAAATATTTTAAAAAATGATGTCTATAACAGATTGTTTTAAAATTATAGTATAAAAACAATATTTGCTACTAATTCCAGTATTCCATTAGTTCGCCTTATAGTCATGCAAGTATCTGTTTTGAAAAACAGTATGCCATATTATTACTAAACCAAAAATGAAAGTAAGACAATTTAACATTTTTCCACCTAAATGGCCATCACAAAAATAAAGCATTTTTCCTTAACTAAAGCTTTTCCTGTATGTTATTAAAAGAGGCTGTAAGACTCACTTCTCAACATGTTATAGAGGAGTTTATCACTTATTGTTTTGCTTGTCCACTGCCCAGAAGTTTGTTTTAAAGTCTACCTCTGTTACATTCCAAGCACACAAGAAAACATTCATTTTACCCATGTTTATAAATAGCAAATAGATACAAATAATCAACATGCCCATCAGTACAACATTTTGAGTAGTAAGTGAATTATGGATAAATACATTTTTAAAATATATTTGCTAAATACTTGTTAAAATCTGAGGCAAAAATAACAAAATGAAATGTCAACACAATAAATTGGGGTGGTACACACGTGAGTGTTCTGTTTTATTATTTTTTGTACTTTCTTTTTTTAAATTTTTTTTGTAGTTGTAGATGGACAGAATACCTTTATTTTATTTGTTTATTTTTATGTGGTGCTGAGGATCGAAACAGTGCCTCATGCATGCTAGGCAAACACTCTACCACTGAGCTATAGCCCCAGCCCTCTGTGCACTTTCTGAATGTTTGAAATGTTATGGGCTTTTTCATTTTTAAGGTTCTGCAGAAAGTAAAGGACACAATTTCACCTTATCATGTTGTTCTTTGTACTAAAACACCAGGTTGAGTTCAAACTACTTTAGCATGCAAAAGAAAAAAATCCAGGAACTTAGAGAAGAGTCATAATGATGTAAGGATCTAAAAGGGAACAGTTTTCAAAAATAAGACCTAAAGAACTAAACAGGCGTAGCAGATTCCATGAAAACAACTAGAGAGCAAAGGAGAGGAAAGAATAGCAACTGTCAGCAAGTATTCAAAGACAAGGACGGGGGTGGAGGAGAAAAGGAGGGATTCCTTTGTCAAAATGCCACCACACCATCTGCTACGGAATGGATATTTGTGCCCCCCAAATTCATAAGCTGAAGTTTCATCCATGGTTCAGAAAAACCAAAAGCAAGACATGGATAAATCTTAAGTGAAAAAAACAGTCACACCACTTTATTCTATGATATCATTTACATGAAATGTTCAGATAGTCAAATTCACAAAGCAAAGTAGATTAGAGGCTGCCGAGGGCTGGGGGACTCTGCAGAAGTGGGCAGTAACTGCTAATAAGGAGATAAAAATATTCTAAACTTAATTCAATTCCATGATATCCTAAAAATGACTGAATTTTAACATGCTAAATGGATGAATTATATGGTATCTTAAGAGAGCTGCTATAAAATATTTAAAAATAAGAGCTAGAGTTACTAAGTACACAGGAATCAAAATTATCAAATGTTTTCATCAATAAGAGAGGCCATTCTAGTTACAAGTATTTAACAGGCAAAATTTTAATATTGTTTGGGCAAATGCTGATAAAAGAAATAAAACTTAAATAAGAGAACACAGATAAAAAGAAGTCACCAGCCAATGACTAGTCACTGTTACACAATCTTTTCTTATCATTTAATTTTAATTCACTCACCACAAAAGAGGACAGAATGGATGTGCACAAGAAGAATTCCAGCTTATCCAGCTCACAGAGCATAGGGGTCCTAGGCCTAGACAATACTGACAACTTCTCATGGCCCAAATTCACTTGTGGTCCAACAACGAGCTTCCATGAGGCCACAATGGACAAAGCTCTCTGGATAAAGGATCTGGAACCCCAGAAAGAAAATGCTGCTGAACTCTCCACTAAGAAGAATTAAAAGGATGTAACACGAATGACCATAAACTTCTCTGACCACACTCAGAGGTAAATATTTGGCTATACTGGAGGTACAACCCAGGCATTGTGTCAATGTGTATCAGGACAAAGGCAAACTCCAAAGAATCCAACTGAGAGGATATAGTCTTTCCAGTCACCAGAGAAGGAGGCCTGCTCTGCCACAGGAATAAACCAAGAGATCCTAAGATCTCTTGGGCAAAAAGACCCAAGGTGATTCCAAGATCTGAATCATAAGCAAGAAAGCAGAAGGAGGCTGAGAAAATTGATAAGAACAAACCCTGTGATCACTTCCACAAGCAAAATTTCTGAGTAGAAGGAAATGAGATGCTACAAAACAGAGGCAATCATCTGGGAAAACTTCAAATAAAATTTTGTTACCCTTCCAGGTCTTGCCTCAACAAATTAGACACTGGTTCTCATTGCACCAAATGAATTAAATACTGCACATCAGCAGGATGCCCTGTGGCAAGGGTCTTGACAGGAGTCAAGAGGTTTTATACCTGATTCTGAAAAGCTGTGTGAACTCTGGACCTCTATTCTCCCACAGCAAAATTGTAGATGACTCTCTAGTTCAAGAAATACTGTCATAAATGTAATATAACTTGGCAGAGGGGAGAGGGTTCCAACTGCTTTACAGAAAAGCTATTAAAAATGTAACAATGTTGTTTTCCTATCTCTTATCTGCGATGTGTAGAAAGGAAAAAAGAATAAAAGCAATGATATATTTTCTTTTAAATCTCTTGTCTTAACTTCGTTTTCAATTAAAAGTAATTGTGGAAAGCAAATACTACCTGAATCACATTTTCCCCTGCCTCTACCTAAAGAAAGACCATGAAAAATAAAAGCCACAAAATGCATATCTCAATGCAACAGTTGTCCAGAATAAAGACATTAACAACTATCCTAACCCAACACTGCCAGTTCTGCAGGACTCAAGCTTATCTGTTCCAAATGGATAGGTTTGAAATGTAGACAGAATGCAAAAAGTCCATCCGACCCAGAACATTCTGTTTTTCCCTCAGTCTTTTTATTACAGAGCCTCAATGTAATCAGACTGATTTCCTCTCTCTCAAACTCTACCCATCTTTAAAATAGGTTAAAATGCTATTTTTTTCTCTTGTTTTTGGTAGTCCCAGGGATGGAACCGAGGGCCTCAGACATTGTAGGCAGGCACTTTATCACTAAGCCACATCCCCAGCCACCCTTCTCCCCTTTTTTTTTGAGACAGAGTTTAAGTTCCCCATTATAGCCTCCAACTTGCAATCCTCCTGCCTGGGATTACCGGCATGTGCCACTATACCTGGTTGGAAAATAATGAGATCATATTAAGTCCCTCAAAACGATTACTAAGGTCTAAAACAAAATAAAAAAAAAAAGAAGATATGGCAAATGCCTGTAATCCCAGCAGCTTGGGAGACTGAGGTAGGAGGATCATGAATTCAAACCCAGCCTCAACAATTCTGTGAGGCCCTAAGCAACTTAGCAAGAGCCTATCTCAAAATAAAAATTATAAAGGGCTGGGGATATAGCTTAGAGGTTAAGTACTCCTGAGTTCCATCCCTGGTACAAAATGATAATAGACAAATAGATACATACATACATACATACTAAAAGGGGATATAGCTCAGTGGTAAAGTGTCTCTGGGTTAAATTTTATCCAATCCAAAAAAAAAAAAAAAAAGAAATCTGAACTTCAAAACTAATGAGCTAAGCCAAGAGGAAAGGAAGAAGGAAGAGAGGGAAGTAAGATAACAGGGAAGGAGGAGCCCATAAGAATAATTTTAAGTATATCTCCAAGAAGAGAAAATACACAGAAACACAAAGAAAACAAAAAAATGAAAGGCCCGAGAAACTGTAAATGTGGCTAAACAAAGAAGGCCTATTTCAGAAGAAACGATTTGTTAGCAAAAGCAAAAATACCTGCTGCTGATGTAATGTAGTAAGGCTTACAGTAAAACAAGGATCAGAATAGCTATGCCATAGCCAAGATCAATCTACAGCAAACTGGACTATCAGTAAGTTATAAAGATTCATTATAACATGAGGTCTCAAGAAAGCAAA